AAAGTTCATAATTTCCCCTAATATAAATGATGATATGGAAACATAAAGGCAGGTATTTGCTAGAGATTGGTGCAACTGAACGGTCCACAGACAATGTGGAAGTGTACAAACCGGAACAAGCCTAACAAAATGTGTGCTATATATATATAATCAGTCCACTGGGGTTCCGTTTTCCATTCATGCTAAAGAGTGTAAATTCTGTCCAACAAACTTGAGGACAAAACAACCAGATTCCAAAAAACCAGATTCAAGCTGCCTTTTGTGCCTAGCTATATATATAGCTATATATATATATATATATATATATATATATAACAAGATAAGCTGCTTAATTTCTTCTTTTAGCGAAGTCTGCTCTTTTACAAGGCTTCTACTTACTTCGCCCGTTCCAGAGAGCTGCCATTTCCAGGGTTAGTGTTTGAATGTGTGCATGATCGAAGCCAAGGCTCGATGGCAATTAGCGTGATGAGTGGGATTACTCTACTTGTGATTCTATTTATCCTTGCGAATTTGGGGACTCTTGTGGTGGTGGGTGCTCAAGGGCTTTATAATTCTTCCCAGCTGGCTGATTCTTTTTGCAAAAATTCTTGCAATTTGACTTCGGACAATAAGAGAGGTGTTCCAACGGGATCTAATCCTCTGCATAACAGGTAGGCATGATCTTAATTGATGGTCTCTCTTTAGCTTCAACTTTCAAGAATTGTGTAATTCTATCTTTCATTTTTTAGAGTTGTTAGAAACCAATCTTAATTTAATTCCTAAGCACTTTTATTTTATATTTTTGAATTCAATAATTTACACTTCATATTATAAAATTATAACCATTAAATAAAAAGACTTTTCTTTTTATTAAATACTTTTTTTAATCTAATAATTAGTGTTTAGTTATATTCTTCCTCTGTTAACTTTTTTTTTTTTAATGTACGTTCATATTAATTTCCCTTTTATCAGCTGGTGTTACTGTTGATCATTCAAAGCAATACTAAATATTTATTAATTCCACACGCAAAATTTGTTTATTGAGGACAAAAGAGTGCAAAGTAGCTCTGACATGCTTTGCATGAGTTGTCTCTCTTTGTCTCCATATGTAATCTATCCTCATCCAACCAAGTTCTATTTGCCTGCATATATATGCCTAATATATCCTGATACCTATGATGGGCTTGTCTGTTTTTTAGAGCAATTTTTAAATTTTAAAAATTATGGATTAATCATGTTAGCGACCAATTATCAGTCTCAGTAGCCATTCTCCATGGTACCACTACTAGTATATACTCTTTGCCTCCCAGGGCCAAAAAAATACAGTAAAAAAAAATGCTGTTGGGAGATCATGAGGTGAATCGTGAATATGAATGAGTCCCGTTCAATTACTACTACTAATATGTTATTTTGTTTACAATTATTTTTTTAATATTTGATGATAAACTATATATAAGAAGGAATAATTTTTTTTAAAAAAAATTTTCATCACTTAATTGAAAATTTGAATTTATGATTTTTAATCTAAAATTTTAAGTTTTTAACTAATTAAGTCAGCTATTGAGAGTGTTATTTTGTTTACATAATGAAATTTCATTGGCTCATTGTTGACCAAAAAGAAAAAAACATTACCTTATAAGCTTCTTGTTGAAATTTTATGCTGCTCGACAGTAGTGGAACTACATGAGAAGGTGGTTGGGTATGAATCCTAGCTCAAGTTCCCAAAAGGTGAAAATAAAGAGACATAGACTAAAATTGCACCCAAAAAAAATGTCAAATGCCTACCCTAAATCTCATTATATAGACCAAAAAAATTTAAAAATAAGATTAAAAAGGAAAAGGCCCAACCTTCTATCTCTCTCTGCTTCTGTCACTACTACTTAGTGGTAATAAGATACATGTATAAGGGGTTGAAGTAACCTTATATTCCCTAATAATGTATTAATAATATCTTCATTTAAGGTTAAACCCCCATTTTGGTCCCTCAACTATTATACGGACCCCCAACTTAGTCCCTTAATTCAAAAAATCCCTGATTTGGTCCTTACTGTTTAGCATTTTTACCCCAATTTAGTCCCTCCATTAAAAATCTAATGATGTGTCATGTTAATTAACTGCAGCATGATGACGTGTCAAAATAACGTGCCACATCAGATGCACGCATGTAAAAAGTGATGACATGGAAAAAAATGTCAAAAAAAACTTTAAAATTTCTACTTTTTTTTTTTTTCTTCTCTCTCCCTTTCTTTTCCCCTTGAACCCAACGCTTACTAGGTTCTTTTGAACCCAGGAGGACGCCTGGGTTCGACCTCTTCCTGGGTTCGAAGGAACTGAGGAAGAGGACAAACCCAGGCGTCCTCCTGGGTTCGTTTGAACCCAGGAAGACACCTGGCTTCCTGGGTTCGAACAAACCCAGAAGGACGCCTGGCTTCCTGGGTTCTTTCGAACCCAGGTGGATGTCTGGCTTCCTGGGTTCTTTCGAACCCAGGTGGATTCCTGGCTTCCTGGCTTCGAACAAACCGAAGAGCAAAAAGTAAAAAAAATTTTTTTTTTTTTCTGTGGATCTTGTTGATGATGATGAAGAATTGATTAATGAAGGAATTGAGGAGGAACTGGGAAAAATACAAAAAATTTCTCTTTTTTTTTCTATGGATTCTTGCTGAGAAATTGAGAGAGCTCTGTTGTTCTAGTTCGAATGGGAAGAAAGGGGGAGAAGGGTTCAGGTGGGGCCCACTCCTTTTTTTTTAGTTTTGGTCCTTTTGGATCAAAATCATACTGCCATGTCATTTTTTTTTTTACAGGTATGCATAAGAGGTGTCACTCTATTTAAACACGTCATCTTGCTGCAGTTAATTAACGTGACACGTCATTGGATTTTTAACGGAGGGACTACATTGGGGTAAAAATGGTAAACAGTAGGGACCAAATCAGGGATTTTTTGAGTTGAGGGACTAAGTCGGGAGTCCGTACAATAGTTGAGGGACCAAAATGGGGGTTTAACCTTCATTTAATTAATAAAAAATCATAAGAAAACCTACAAATGTACATGTGGTTTAGAATCCATTTGTCATAGTTAAATAATTTAAACAAAAAAATTGCATAAACATGATATGCCAAAACATAATAGCTAGCTACATACGTACCAAACAAACATGCCATCTAGATATTATAGTTACCAAGATA